TGCTAAACTAAAAGAATGACTTGTGACAGCAGCAGACTTTTCTCCTATATACGGCAAGGCTTTAAGAGGCCAACAGAACCACTCCTGCAAAAGGGCTACACATCGACTCCCTAAACACTATTAAAACACATTTTAATTGTCTTGGAGGACACCTCTGGTGGCAGGGAAACAGAGTCATGGTACAACTGCAAAGCTTGACACATTAAATTTTGAAAGGCAAACCACAAGTCTGACCACTCCCCAACCCCGAAAAGCTGAGAACAAAAAAAAGTAGCAGGAAAGGAACTATCTTTATCCGGCCTTATCCTCTGAAGTACCCATGCAGATGAAACGTTAGCAGGGCTTCCCAAATGAAGACAGATCTAGCAGGAAGAATTTCATCTAAAACCTCAAGACTATCAAAATATGATTAGCTGAACACAGACTACCATAACAGGAAACAATAAGAAACCTGAGATGTGTGTTAATAGTTTAACACACACGCATGCAGAGCTTATCAGAAGTGCGAAGGCATTAAAAAAAAAAGCACTAATTCAAATACAGATATTTGCCAGCAGCTGTATCACCATCATATTCTTTAGCTGGTTTTGATTCAACTCAGTGGACATCAGGTTAATCCCACAGGACAGTATCATGCACTTCTGTAATAGCTCCTGACCTCACTTCTGTGTTTGAGCCCTGCTGTAGTGTCATGACTAACTATGGCAAGCAACAAATCACACTCTGTAAGCAGCCAGTGCCTGTCCTTTCTCCTTTCAAAGCTTTCATTCAATTCTGCATTTTTTAAAGTCATGCTGCTTCAAAACAGCTGATCCAGATGGCAGATATTTGGATTTCAAACTTCCCACATGGTGATGTGGCTCAAGAAGATAAAAACTGTTGCTACCTGCTGCTGACCTACTTCTTTAATTTGTTTCCTGCCATACAACAGATTAAACAGTATGGTTCATTGAAATAGTCTTCCACACCTACCCACTGCTATGTAGCAAATATAAAATAAAATTAACAGAGCAAGGAAGAGGAAGGGGGAAAAAAAGCAGCATGATCCAGTGAGGGGTTGGGGGAACAACTCTCACCTCTCTCATAGTCATCTTCCTCTATTGCTTTTTCCTGAAGCTTCTGAAGCCTTAAGATCAAGGATTTCACCTATGCAAAGAGAAGAAAATTAATTATGAAGGTACATTTAAAACTATTTAGACTATTAATCTCTACATAATACAAATTTAATGGATTACTACATCACTAGAATAGCCCAATTTTGAGATTTAAGCCCAATATTTGTTAAGTGGACAGACATATTTGGAATTCAGATGAACTGCAGCTACTTGAGCCAATCATGGCTTTAGTCCAAACACATATAGAGAACAAACCATATTTCTCAAAAAGCAAAAGAGATCGTGTGATTGTATGATATTTTTCACCCTTTGAATAAATCAAAGTAAGGATTATTAGAGGATGCTGTCAGCATGACATCTACTTCTGATCACATTGTACTCAGTGTGTTCTTAAGCCCCTTCCAACAATCTTTTGCCCACTGAGTTTTGCACAGAACAAAACCAGACTTTCCATATGCAAACCACATTTTCTTCTGTAAGTAAAAAAGAGAAATACAGTATTAATATTTTGGAACAAGTATATTTGTATTATGGCACAGAAAATTGTGTTCATATGCAGCCACTGAATTTCCATTAAAATACAATTTAGGCTCATCTACATAATGTTGACACTTGCATTTTCAGAGATGTTCAAATTGCAAATGCTATGTGGGGGGAAAAAAGCAAAACACCAAGAATACCTATACCACATACAGAGTGCCCTCTCACACCCTAAAAGAAATTCTTACCATGATAAAGTTTTATTTTAAAACTTACTGGGTCTGTTTGTTAACATGAAGGGTCTGGACCGAAGTTCTAAATTCACTAAAAATTTGTAAGGTTAGGTGTGCATTCAAAAGCCATTATAAGTTTTTACTGCTAGAAGAATTTGGTTAGAAGGTAGGCAGTCCTCATCGCCATGCCAGCCACAGCCTAACGTAGCTACAGGTACAAGACTGAAAAGTGTTTTCTTGTTATTACATTTATACATCACCTGTACCAAACAAGCCACTACCAGCACTGAAAAAGGCAAGCCTGGAAAAAGAAGCAAGACATTGTCATAGCCTGAAGCCTGAAAGCGCTTGGGAAAGCATTTTCTAATACAAGAAAAATCCATACTTTAGACATTCTACTTTTACAAAAGATTATGCTCCTCCCTGAAATTCTTTCATATCTAAATCCTTATATTTAAACTCTAAATTGGATAGAGAAAAATAGGTACAGCCAGGCAACAACTTAATAAAAACAGTAATTGTGACTACACAATCAATACACACATCAGGCAAGACATTTAAATTAATCGTACCCTTTCTAAATATGGTACATGAAAGTGGACTAGTTAGAAGAGAACCATAAAAAAATAAAGCCAGAAAATAATAAAAAATAATAGGTTATAGGATGCCCCAGATGAAAAACAAAACAAAAAACAACATTGTATGTACTCCCTTTTTCTCAAGGCTTTATTTTGTTTTTCACATCCTGAAACTCCAATGTTTTTTCTCTGAGGCTGGTGAGGAATGTGTAACGTATTGACGGGAGGAGCCCTAAATCCTTAACATGAATTATTTTCTGCATTTTATGCCATACTTTTGATAGAGTTTTAAAGAAGCCTGCGGTAGAAATGATTCAAATGACACTTTTTTCATATAGATGATGTATAACAGCCATCTATACAGAGAGTACAGCTTTGCTGCTGTTTGCAGTTTTATCCCATCATGCGCTCACAGTGGCAGGTCATTTAAAGTCTGCTTGGGTACCACAGCCCAGGCATGCCCATGGCAAATCAACTGATGCTGTCACAGTAAAGTGCTTTCTGTTTCCAGGCTGGTCAGCATTTGGAGCTCAACTAATCTACGAGCTGCTTCAGCGTGGCATGTCCTGTATCTGTACCATGTGATGACCACTTCGCTTTTTCTGTATCTATTAAAAAAAGTAATTTTAACAACCTTGGTATTGTCTCCTTTTTTGACTACAGTTGCCTTTGTTCCTTTGTGAAAAGTTTGAGACTTGCTCATTATCATTATAACAGGAAGGTGCTTCAAATTAAACATACACAAGTGGATAACCAAGGGCAAAGACATCAGAAGGCACAAATCCCCAATTCTCCATTCAATGAATTAATGAATACAGAAATTAAAGATAGCAATGTTTCTTTTGTGCCTATCAAATAAGCATACTGAAGAGACAGAAAAAATAATTTCCTATTTTGATTACGTTATATATTCCCAAATTTGCAGCAAATTAATTTCCTAAACCATCCCAGACTATTGGGCACATTGTCATTCCAGGCATGAAGTCAAAGAAGCTGCTCCATGTCAATGCACCTGAAGTCTGTAAATAAGAGAACCTAGCTTGAGTCCTACACGCATCCATGAAAAGGAAGTATTAGAGCATCATAAGCCCAGGTCAGATGTAATGGAGAGAAAAGTAAGAATAAAAGCTTCTCGACCTCCTGTCTTACCCAGACAGGAGGGTTGTGCAAAGCATCCCCAGAGCAGGTTGTTTCACCAGGCCTAAAGACAACACTGTGCATCTCAGCAGGTATGTCTGAGCTGACAAGTCACAAGAACCTGAGTTTCTGAAAAGCATCCCAGAAACTCAGCACACTAGTGAGACACTAAAAAAAAAAAAAACCCACACAACACACCAAACAAACCACCCCACCACACAACACGAAGCAAAAAACCCACACCCACCCAAAAAATCCACCACACAAGAGAAACCCCACCACCCACTTAGTGTGCCTTGAACAAATTTCTGAGATCTATCAAGTCCACATTAATCTCTGGATTACTGCTTCCTACATGCACAATAAAGCCAATATTTGGCTCCTTATTGCAGGTAAGCTCAGAATGGTTTCCCTCTGATGTCCACCTGCCATTCCAAAAAACTATATAAAAAAACATAACTGATCCTTAAAGTTTCCCCCCCTCTCCTCTCCCACAAAGAGCACAGTGAATGAGATTGCCTGTATATATGGTAGGTATACCTGTGGGTAGCCATACATGCAAAAAGAAAGACTCGCCCCAACAGCCCAGTAATCCTCTGGGGTGGAATTTAAAAAAAAAAAAGGTACAATTCCCATTCTGAGTTACTGCAGGGACTTGACCCTCATTTTTCTTTGTGCAGGGATAAAAAAAAAGGTAAATTCCCATTCTGAGTTACCGCAGGAACTTGACCCTCATTTTTCTTTGTGCAGGGAGAGTACTACTAGATTACAGGCTACTCTCACTCAGGTGCCTCACTCCAAGAAATCTTTGACTAAACTTACACATTTACAATTATAAAGTCTAGGGTTGTTAAATCACGGTACTTCAAGGGAAGAGTTCTTACCACCCCCAAATTTTGTACTACATATACTCCAAACTGCAGACAAAACAGACACCTGTGAAAGAAAATTGTATTGTTGAATTTAGAAACTGATGTGAGACATATGAGAAATTAGAGGATCACAGTCTCAGTATAACATAGGAATCAGGTACTGCAAAAACGTCACTTTTTTTCCTAAAGAACCAAAAAGGAAAGGAAAACGGTTGTCTCACTTTTATCATGCAGACTGCTATCACTTTTTTTCCTAAAGAACCAAAAAGGGAAGGAAAATGGTTGTCTCACTTTTATCATGCAGACTGCTACTGTAAGCCTCTATGAACAAATGTCACAAAAACCAATAACATCCCAACTCCTATATCAACTTTGACTTTGGCACTATAAATACAAATGTTTTGGGGGCCACGAGGAAGAATCAAAGGTGAAGGGAGATAACTAACCTTTAGCATACTGCGGTTGCCAAGCAGACAGTCCTGTAGCACTGGCTCATATTTTTTCATCAAAGTATCCCAGTTATGGTCACTAACAGTAAAGCTACTTTCATAGCCTGAGGTGACAGAAGAACCAGCAGATGCTGCATCTGAGAAATCTGCAGAATATGAAAGTGTTGCATCTGTATCCGAGAAAGAGACCGTCTCACAGTCCTGTACTTTATCAATTGCTGTGGTCTCATTTTCACAGTCCGAATCCTCCCTGGGCCTGGGGAAGCAATGCAAAGCTCCCAAGTGCTCATGAGGCTGTGTCATCTCCTCTGGCTTCTGCAGATTTCCTGCAGTGCTGGGATCTGGAACGTACTCAGCTTCCTCGACGGTTAACTTCCCTTTAGCATCACTTACTCCAGAGGATGAGTTCAGGGAGAGTTGTATGAAGCTGAAACTTGAACTAAAGCTATCATGTGCACCAACAGAATGAGAAACAGCATCTCTGGTTTGATATTCACAGTTGTTATTCACTTCTGTCTGATCCGAAGCATACATACTTTGAGGCTCACCCACTTCAGCGCTGTGGCTCTTCTGCCACGTACAGCACACAGCAGAAACGTCTCCTTTGCTTGTTGCTGCGGCAGGGTAAACTGGTATCACTGTATTTTCCGACTGTGGACTCTTGTAACACGAAAGATTTTTGCAGCTCTCTGGCGTATTTCCAGTAGTGGTCAACATTATTATGCCATTAGCAGGAACTACAGTACTATCTGCAATTGATCTGCTGTGTACGAACTCAAAGTTATTTTTGCATTGTCTGCGTAGAAAGCAGTTCTCAAAGTCTCCGCAATGCTGCCTGCCATATTTGAGCTCTTCCGGGCTGAACAGCTTGCAGGCACCCAGGGACTGAAACCCTATCTGCCGCTGAGCTTCTGGCCTCATGTATCCTGGTCTTTTTGCCAGTTTCTTTTTACGAAGAGAGCCTGCAGGCACTAACTGCTCCTGACCATCTGAGGGAGGGGGGAGGAAAAAAAAAAAAGTCATTAAATTGTTTCTGCAGTTTCCTAGGCGTAACATATTGTAGCATCTGAAAAAAATTGTTCCAGGAATGTCAAACAGTGCATCGGTTTCCATTTCAACACAAAGACACTGACCATACTATAGAGGAGAAAAGTTGTTACCAGGGAATGCTGTGTGTATTCAGCTACTTTCTAAAGAGTTTGCACCTGCTTTCAAGTGAACTCACCTGATTACTTCTATCAGGACACAAACCTGGGTACAATGAACTACATCATCTTCCCCATTCACAGTGATGCCCTGCACACCCCCAATTCACTTAGCAGCAAGCTAAAGCACAGACTAAGTCTCTCTGATCCAGACTGATTTTCAAATTTACAAGCACAACTAGGAAAGAACTTAATCTGTATCAAAAAGATGAGAACCATTCTCGCAAAGAAATTTTGGGTATAATCTCTTGTTGCCCATGTGTAGTTTCTTGTGTTCATATCCATGTTTTATTAATGCAAGCGAGAAGTCCAGATTCTATTTCCAGAACAGATGTGACCCTGTAACACCCCATGGCTGCATATCTCTCAGTCTACTGAGATACTTTAAGTTTTCATTTAGATTTACTGTACTACCTATTGTCCCAAATGTTAAGTTGAAGCTTTGCATTCACGACCATCAGTCCTAGAAAACTAATGCTACCATATGCTTGCCAGCATTACTGTAATATTAATATATTTAAGAAAGGGCCTCTGTTCAACAGCTCAGTTTCCCACATATACCTTACATAGAATAAAGAGATAAATTTTCCACTTGCAAAGCAGAATAGAAAGAACTAAGATAAAAGCCACAAAGAACATTAGAAGTGGCAGACCAGAATGTGGTACCTTGTCTTTGTTTTCTGTACATTTCCATTAAAAAAAAGTTATGGGTAAAAGGTTACATGGTGACTACATTCAGCTTCTTATGGATTTGCCACTAGTCAAAAGGTATTCCATTCTTCTGTTCTGCACCCAATCAATGGGAATACAAGCTATGCATCATCATCCATTTTGTAACACAAACGGATATTGACCAGGCCTATTTGCCAGAATCACCCTTCCAAGGGAACCAGTCACTAGCTGAATTATGCCCTCGATTAGCAGCCCTCTACTAACTGAAACAGAATCAACTGCCAGAATTTCAGGTGTTAGAAAAATTCTCATCACCCACACAGAGCTCCTTCAAAAACACAAGTTTTAGGAAAGGAAAAAAAATTTTCTTTACATGCAATACATCTAATATTCATCCCTAATCACAACGCTTCACCAACTTTTACATTGAGAGATGCGCACATAATCTAAACTCCTCAGCAACGCCTAAGAGAGGTCTCATACACACCTCACTACAATGACATCCTATGGAAAAATGTAAGCATCGGACCTGAAACTTCCCAGGAGACTTTTCCCAACATTCACTACACTCTCTCCAAATAACCTTCAACAAAAGCAATTTATACTTTTTCTAGAATAGTGGCACATCTCACCATGGGGCTGCAGTTAAGCTTCTGTATTCGGCTTCCTATCACCATAAATTAGAATACCCCAGCTGCCTCTTACGTTCTCTTTTGTCAGAGGAAAAAGCATCACAGAAATCAGAAATAAAAAAGGTCATGGAGTCTATCAGCCTGTCTGCCATAAAAAGACAGTGAAATGCTGTACTGGGAGTAATTTAATAGAAGACTTAACAAATGGGAACCACTCTTGGAGTACAGGAAAAAATTGAACAAAATGTTCTTTAGAATTTAATTCTTTTAATTTATATACAAAATAACAGCCTAAACTTGCCTTCAGCAGAAGAAATCAGTCATGTAGAAAAAAGTCATTCTAAGACTGGATATACTTTATCACCATTGACAAAGGCTGATCACAGGCCTCATCCGTAAAAATGGAAAGGGTTCTTTGGTTTAATTAAAATCAGTTTAAAATTGATCTCACTAAATCACTACGAATTTCTAAAGCAGACAGATAATTACAGCTCTTTAGACATTAAATTTAAACTAAGCTCATGTAAGTAAGGTTTAAATTGGCCAAAGTCTTAGATATTTGCACCAAGTGGACTGGATGCAATCCTAAATTATTTGAGCCAAAGTGATACAATTTCAGTATCCTGGAACTAGTCCACACAAAACACACACATCTGTGCCCTACTCCCCACATTTGCAGGTAACCCTTTAGACAGGTTTACCATTCAGGTCCTTTATGGGCTCCAAGTCTGCCTCCTGCCTAGTCCAGGAGCACAAATCCCTCATCCAGCTACCAGAGCAGCACCGCTGCCTGAGTTAGACTCGAGATTATAGTCCAAGCAACAGGCTGCTCAGAGGATTCTGTGTGGAGAGGGCGACGGGTCCTCAGCCCCAACGTAGCTGCACCTGAGGGTGAGGCAGAGAAGGAATGGACGGACACAGAGCGGGGACCAGCACCTCAGGAGGAGCACTCATGCCTTTCCCAAAGGAAAAGGGAGGGAGGAGGCAGCCACAGCCTGATCCCTGGCTCCAGCTAGAGAGTAGTCACAGTGCCCTCAGCCATCACAAAATCCAGCCAGGATGTCACTATGGCTTTTGGGTATATTGTTTGTGTGCTGTTTACCCTTCTGCCACATCCCTTTTCTGAAGCCAAAGAGCATTTCCCACTGGTGGAAAGAGCACATTCTCTTGTACCCAGCCTGAAGCTAAAGGACAGGGGAACAGTCATCTAATTTATTTCAGATAATCAGTCTTTGTTTTCAGCCACAAAAGTGGCAGTTCAGGTTTTTTTATCAAATGCTCTAGTAGCATCTGTGGACAGAGAAGTGTAACTACCTTGCATTTTTGTGAAGTCCACTAGGATTTATAGATCAGTACAGAAATTCTGAAGCAACCACCTCCCCGCCCCTGCGTTAAACACATAATGCAGAATGCTTGTGAGTTCATTAAGTTCTCCCTGAAAAGTAACTGAGAGATTATATATGCAGTTTTAAAGAGCTCAACTATCTGAATATACCTATATTGCACACAGTTTATTTTTATTAGAATAACAAATTCACCTTCAGAGCATTTGTGGGTGGTAACTGTGATGTGGAGGAAAAGACACTTGGTCATATTCAAAGCCAACTATTAAAGCACTGCTCCAAGCAATTTCTGTAGTGCTGTTTCTGTTCAGAAAGCCTTAAACACCTGCATTAAAGTGTATGCAAACAAACAGGTTCAAATATTTGTTATTTACAAACATAGAGACACACACGTTTAACCTATGAGTAACAAAAAATGAACCACTCTCAGGGATTAATCAATCTGAAATGACAACAACCATTACTGTTCAGTTCCTATGTCATAAAAATATGTAAAATGTTGCAGGTTCCTAATTAATCAGTTATATTTTGACTCATTTGCTGAATTTCAAAGGTACCACAAAAATACTCAAAATCAGATGGCACTGATCTCAACACAGCCTATGTTAAAACAAGCCAGCATCATCTCTTCACACAAGTAAGCTTTCAAAGAAAGTTACTTTTGAAGAAAGACTTTTATAACTCTTAAAACACAAAGGTCCCATTCCGGTTTTTCAACTCACTTACTGAATGACAACTATACTTTGATTTAACTAGCATTTTATAACATGTATCTTTAGGGGACAAGCAATGGCTGAGCTACATTGTATTTGATACCAATTACAAACTATTTCCTCACCAAGGGTTCCTGCAGTTTCTAAGGTTGCAGGCTGGGTTCAGTAATTCAACTGTTAATTTCAAAGACATAATGTACAAAATATTCTCTGAAGTCATTAAATGCATATTAGCTTCTATTCTTCATTTAAAAAAAAAAAACCACACTTCAAAGAGTTGTGATTTCTAAAACAGTGGTCTTCCCTAGCCAGTGTTTAAATAATTGTATGTTTATTGAGGTGCTCCCATAATGAGCATGTCATTGAGTTGTTACATTTAAGCTACTTACCTCCACAGTGGAACAACCTATTTTAAGCCATTTGATGAAACTGCAGCACCTCTCTCTCACATAAGAATTACATCAGCTGATAGTAGTTTCAATATGCCCATCAATTTTTTCCCCCCAAGAAAAAAAAAAAAAAGTGTTTTAAACCTGGGTTTGCCTTAACATTAAGAATGAAAAAAAATATTTATTAAAAAGTAATCTGGCAAATATCGAACACTTCCTATATCAGTAACAATCCTATTTAGCCGGGGGGAATAAGAGCAGCTTCGCTTTCCTTAATTACATATTATAATCGTGTTCGACATTACTAACACCTTAAAACACATCTGCATCCATCAGTATTCAGCAGTGCATTGACTATGACCTATTTAGCCAGGGGGGATAAGAGCAGCTTTGCTTTCCTTAATTACATATTATAATCATGTTCAACACTAACACCTTAAAACACGCCTGCAGCCATCAGTATTCAGCAGTGCATTGACTATGCACAAAAGCAGGCTTTTTCACAAGCAAGTGCATTACTGCATCAGGGCCTAAGTGTCTTGATGTGACAAAAAGAACAGAAATATGCCTCTCTGATCTTTTTAAATTTTAAAATATAATAAGTATCCAGCTTGTGAAAGCATGTAGTTGCACTATGAAGGCTTATGTAATAGCTAATCAACCCCCTAGGGCTAGCAACCTGAGACCCAGGGCTTGGCTGTTACAGAAAACTGCATTCCTCCAAGCTGAATGAAAATTACACCACCCAACTTCTCCACTGTGGCCTTAGAGGGAAACTCATTTTGTTGGCCAGAGGAGTGGCCAGATTCACTCCAGAACAGCCCGGTGACTCTGTGCTGTCTCAATAAAGCAGGATCACTTAGAGCACAATACTGTCAAAAAAATAGACATTTCTGTACTTTTCATTTTTGTTCTCATGCAGACAGCTACTGATACAGAAGTCCCAAGGAGGAGAAAAAGGAAAAAA